CCTCGTCCACCTCCTCGGCGTCATTCCCGGCCTCCGCGGCGTCCGCCCAGCCTCCGCTGCCGGGCGGATGCCCCCAGCCTTGCGAGTGCTCCGAGGCGGCGCGCACCGTCAAGTGCGTGAACCGCAACCTCACCGAGGTGCCTGCGGACCTGCCCCGCTACGTGCGCAACCTCTTCCTCACCGGCAATCAGCTGGCTGTGCTCCCCGCCGGCGCCTTTGCCCGCCGGCCGCCGCTGGCCGAGCTGGCCGCGCTCAACCTCAGCGGCAGCCGCCTAGAAGAGGTGCGCGCTGGCGCCTTCGAGCATCTGCCAGGCTTGCGCCAGCTCGACCTCAGCCACAACCCACTGGCCGAGCTCAGCCCCTTTGCTTTCTCCGGCGGCAACGCCAGCGTCGCGGCCCCCAGCCCCTTGGTGGAACTGATCCTGAACCACATCGTGCCCCCTGCGGACCCGGCCGAGTGGCAGAACCGGAGCTTTGAGGGTATGGTGGCGGCGGCTCTACGAGCGGGCCAGGCGCTCCGCGGGCTCCGCCGCCTGGAGCTGGCCAGCAACCACCTCCTCTACCTGCCCCGGGACCTTCTGGCCCAACTGCCCGGCCTCAGGCACCTGGACCTGCGCAACAACTCCCTAGTGAGCCTGACCTACGTGTCCTTCCGCAACCTGACGCACCTCGAAAGCCTCCACCTGGAGGACAACGCCCTCAAGGTCCTGCACAACGGCACCCTGGCTGAGTTGCAAAGCCTGCCCCACGTCAGGGTCTTCCTGGACAACAATCCCTGGGTCTGTGACTGTCACATGGCAGACATGGTGGCCTGGCTCAAGGAGACAGAGGTAGTGCAGGGCAAAGCCAGGCTCACCTGCGCATTTCCGGAAAAAATGAGGAGTCGGGTTCTCTTGGAACTCCACAGCTCTGACCTGGACTGTGACCCTCTCCTCCCTCCATCCCTGCAGACTTCTTACGTCTTCCTAGGTATTGTTTTAGCCCTGATAGGCGCCATTTTCCTACTGGTTTTGTATTTGAACCGCAAGGGGATAAAAAAGTGGATGCATAACATCAGAGATGCCTGCAGGGATCACATGGAAGGGTATCATTATAGATACGAAATCAATGCGGACCCCAGGTTAACAAACCTCAGTTCTAATTCGGATGTCTGAGAACCAGGCGAGGACAGAACAAGAACAACTATGCATGAGTGTAGACTTAAGCTTTATCCTGTCCCAGGCTTGCTCCACCTCCACCCTCCGCTGTAGACACTGACGTTGACTGAAAGCAGTGAAGGGAATTTGCTCCCTTCTTACATAAAGTTTCTTGGCGTGTTCTGCTACTATAAGATGATGGACAACTGTGCGTAGTGTTTTCCCCTTTTCCTTTTCCTGGAACTCAACACGTGTGGAGGGATGCTGTCACGTTTCAGCATGTACATGGACTCCTGGCTGTCTTTCTCTTAGAACAGTTCAAGGCGTAGCAAGTGTACCCACACAGATAGCATTCAACAAAAGCTGCCTCAACTTTTTTGAGAAAAAAAAATTCATAAATATCAGTTTGATTTCTCATGTACCTAAATCGTGGAGAAAATGATTGCATTCCATAAACTGCCTGCAGACCTTAGCAAGCTCTTCAAAGTAACTCCGTAGTACACGGAAGCACCTGCATCCGAGAGCATGCTTATCATTTACTGTTCTGCATATTACAGAAAATAACTTGCAACCTCAGATAACTTCTTTGATCAAGTAAATTACTTTTTTTGATTGCAGTTTATATGAAACTACGCTGAAGTTTTTTTATAAACTGCATTGAGATCCAAACGACTAAATTGTTAAAAAAATCAATAAAGATTCTTAAAAGAAATACAATTGTGTTTAAGTTTGCTATTTGAAAAGAAAGATTGGGGCAATGATACTGAATGGTCCTGGTTCAGATGTTAATTAAAGTATTAGTTATAGCTAAGAATGAAAGAGAAGCAATGTCTTATAAAGACAAACTTTAGAGATGGTTTTGAGATGGTGGATCTTTTCAGGATTTAAATAGAGAATCTGAATATTCATCTAACTAAACGTCTTATAGTCCCGAAGTGAATGATATTCATTAAACACTTTTGTAAAAGCATTATAAAGTTGGTAAGGGGGAAGAGTTTTGTATAATAAACAGTTCATGGGGCTTTTTCTAGACTAATTAAGTTGTTAGGACAGAACAAAATTATTTACATAATAAAACTTTCCATATGAAATTGTGCTGTGGATTTTTAGAGCAAAGTATGAAATAAATACAGTACAAATAAATGTATGGAGATGAAGTGTCTTGAAGACACAGAATACTCTAAAATAAGAGATTTTAAAATGGAAATTTAAATTTTTTTTCTAAGATTATAATGTATATTGAAACTTAGATTCTCGTGAGAATGTTTTTAAAAACACTTAAAATGGAACATGTACGGTTGATAGTTTATTAGAGCCCCTGCTAATAACATGTTTAAAAAATTGTCACGGTAGGATGAGAATTTGGGGAGATAATCAGAACTATTTCCGAAAGCAAATGTCTTCACCAATCATAGGTTCTTATGTTTAGTTCAGTATTTAAGAAATTGGGAATATTTTGATTCTAGCTAAACACTGATAGTATATATACCTTTGTGAAGAATAAGTCACATTAAGGTGTAAGTAAAACAAATTAGTCAATTGACATCGTCTATCAATGAAAGACAAGATTTCCTTTGGTTTTTTTCAGTTTGTTATTTGCCAATTAAGCTTAAAATTAAGTTCCATTAATCTCTAAGCTCTTATACAAAGTGACTTAAATTTAATTTAGCCATTATTGCATAATTTAAAGTATAGATAAACTTGTATCAGTAAGTCTGAGGGCCCTTCTTTCTCTTTAACTTGGTTATGTTTCTGGAGTGTTTTATATTTGAAATAAAATTTAGGTTTCCATAATTTTATAAATGAAATAGGATTAGATAGTACTGTGTTCTAGAAATCTGCTTTCAAATAGACTAGAAGAATAGAAACCTATTCCCGCCTTGAGTTAAATTCAGAAGTTTTCAAAATAGAGCTAAAAATAACTGAATCTGTTCCTTGTTTAGATTAGATCAAATAGTCAGAATATGATGTTTGAATTTTAACTGTATTAAGTTTCCTAAGACTCACTTCATGAAATAGTACTCATTATTTCTGGGTTATACTTCAGATCCTACAATTACCTAAGTAAAGGTTAAATATATGGTGCTTAATATTCCATTAAACATTTTAAGTGTTCACCAGGAATTCATAAATTGGCTGGCTGCCATTAGTTCCTAAGAATGATGAAGATATTAGCCTGCCAAAAATAGTGAAAACATCTAATAAATAAAAGCACACCATCTTAGGAATAAACTGCTGATGGACTTTCTATTGGTAAATCTGCTGATACTGCAGAAAAGAACAAATTGTAGTAGTCATAGTCTCTGTTCAGAATGATTTCTCCTTCATCATGTGATAATCTAACGGTTAAACCCTGAGCTTTACCTAACATCCAGGAAGGCAGTAGACTCATTAGTCTAGCTTTTCTCATCATCAGCTTGCTAAAGTGGAATCTGTGATACAGTGAAGCTGAGTTTTTGCCCTTTAGGTGATGGCTTTTCGGAACTTCTGATTTCTTGCTTCTTTTTTATTCCCTTGCTTCTTCCTTGGTATGAACTTCCCAGTTTACCACTGCTCTCTTTAACAGCACATCCCTCAATGCTGTTCTCCAATACAAGGCAATAGACATTCTCAGTAATTTCAAAAATACTACCGTTTGAAAACAATTGCTATTGTGCAGTTACAATACTCTGTAAGCTTATAAGGCATTCTTGGGAGATAGGTGTTATATAAATCCAGTAAGAATACAGGAAAAATGAAAATGAAAGTATCATCACTTTAAGTGCACTTGTTTCAAACACTGTTCCTTAGTACCATGAGGCATTATTGATCCTAGAAACCGACAAGTAATCCACTTCTTAACACTTCTTTTGGTCAGGGATACCTTTTATTACTCAGCTTCGCCTTTATTTATCCTTAACAAGTTTCATTTGAAGAAAGAAAGATCCTTAAACATTAAAGCACTTGATGAATCCCTCAATTCAAAAAGCTATTAAAATGTCCAATAAATTTCTATTTAAAGCAGAAAGATTTTAGGATAATACAGCTATTTGACCCTAAACTGTAATCCCGCTTTCAATGTAACAGTTTAGTTTGCAGCATTAATAAATATATATCATCAGTTTTGCTGCCCTGTGTGATTCAGTGGTGACCTAAGAGGCACATTTGTACCTTACAGCTGATAGATTTTTCTTACAAAATAAGGAGACTTTGAAGCACATTTGAAAAAAAAAAAAAAAAGAAAAAGGAGCTACGTAAATTGATGCTATCCATAATAGGCAAGACTGCTTTTTTCTTCCCCCCAGAGGTGGGGAAAGGCTTGGTGGAAATAAATGGTAAATCCTTTTAAAATATCTTGATTGACAACAAATGTGGATTATGCACAACCTCAATATTTAGTCAGCAATAAGTTACACCTTTGTTTTCTGGGTTGTTTTTTTTTTAAGTGGATGGAAAAAAAGAAGGTCCAAGCGAACCGTGGTTGTTTCCTGAGAGATTCTGTTCACTCTGTCCTCTTGGCCTAACGTTCCAAATACGGGGCTTATCTTCTTGAGGACTTTAGAGGTTTGTTGTGCTGGTTTGGGCATCTTTCATATCATTTCTGCTTTCAGTTTACATTTTTCTCCAAAGACTACACTCAGAGGCCACATGAGGATTTGCAGGTTAAAACCCATTTGGCCCATGCTTTCGTCCTACTTCAAAATCCATTCAGTCATACCGCCCTCAGAGAGTGGCCCCAGAAAGTGAAGATACATTTTTCAGGTGCAGTTCAGGTTTCACTTCTACACCTGTGCAAGAATTTTTCAGTGAAGGAGAGGGAAGGAAGAAATTTATATTTCTAGATCATAGATGAAAAATACCTTGACAGTGTCTCTTTAAAATCTTTTAGCAATACTGCAGCACTGCACTAGAAATAATTTGTTTAAGATAATATACTCTACATTGTCCAGGTGATCCTGTCTTCTTTTAGAAGGAGAAAAACAGCTCCTCAAGGATGTTTTATACAGGTATTTTCTCATTCATATCTGCAGAAATGTTTGATTAGAAAATGCAGGCTGGTTTTATTTTGTTTTGCCTTAAAACATTTCAGCGGCCCTAACTTTGCCATGGGTTAAAAAACAAAACTAGATTTAAAAAAAATTTAATATATGATTTATGTCATTTATATGATTTATATATTTATATAATTTATATATATCATGTATATTATTATATGATTTATACTTTATGTTAAATTATAATTTATATACATTATATAATTTATCCAAATTATATAATTTATATAATTTATCCAAATTATATAATTTATATAATTTTGACAAGAATAAGAATTCTTAGTATTTCAGGGCTTAGATGTGTTTCTTAGATGTGTCAAGCCCAGTTTCCCATTCTATATGTGAAAAACTGATAATTGTGACATATCGTTATATAGTGACAACCAGGACTGGATCTCAGGGTTCCAGATTCCCCTTCTAGTCCCTTTTTTTTTTTGCCATGTGATAGTATTACTGATTACCTACCTTAAGACCTTTGCAATTCTCCTAATTAAAAAAAAGGGAATTGATGTGAATTTGTTTTGTTTTTGCTCTGCACTCAAATGTTCCCTATATTCGTTTGCTCGAAATGTCACTTTCCGTGTGTTAAAAAATTAGTTTCAGACCCCTGAATACGCTTCAGTATGTTTGAAGTAATTTTGTCATAAGCAATCTTATTACTGTAAAGCTCCTCTGAATCCACAGTATGATAGGAAATATTTCAGAAGTTTAATGGTGATCTTTCTTTTGAAGAGAAAAATGAAACTCTGGAAAGCTGTGCTAGCATGTATAATTCTATCTTAAAAGAGTTAGCTCATCTGGTGAGAATACTAAACAAATGAGACCAAGTTCATGGCCATGAAGTCAGTCAGTCACCAGGTGAGACAGTCAGCTTTGCATGGGCTGGTCAGCTGTCCTGCGGGCACCTGCAACAGGTGCAAGCTGCCACCCGTCCTCTGGGGGACCAAACAGGGAATCTACATCAATGCAAATCCATCATCACCCTGGAAAACCAGCGGACTGATGGACAAACCCCAGCAGCCCCGTTGCTGATGTGTAAATTCTTTACATACGCAGGTCTTAACATGACAGTCCCTATACCCTCACGCTGTAGTGTGCAGGCCACAGATCACAAAAGTTTTCTCATTTATGTGAATTTTGTGAAAAATCTAGAGGTGCCTTTTAATGCATCACATGGGAAATTAATCAGATTTGCCTGGCTATTTAAAATGAAAATGTGGTGTAAGATTCGGGATCATGATTACTATGTCACAAACCTGGATGTAAATGTTTACAAAAATAGAAATGCAGTTTATGTTTAGCTGATATTTTAGGATAATAGGATTTATTTGTGGTTCCCAGTTTAACTTGGTTAATGTAAGAATAAATTTGTTTTTAAGGAAGCAAACACTTAAAATATAACCAACTGTAATACTTTCTGTGAAAAGTAAGCATTTCATATGTTTTAAAGAACCTGAAGATGTCATCAAGATAGGACAAGTTTTTTTAAAGGAGAAGTTCATAGTTTTCCTTCCCCTCTTCCCCGCCAACAGTGCTATTTGTACAACTTTGTGTTTTCTTCGCCAAAAGAGAACTATGATGTATCGCATTTCAGGGTGACGACTCGAGCCAGGAGAGTTGCACTGAGACATCAGGTGGGTCAATTTACAAATATACCTTTCTGTGTATGATGCGGTT